ACATCAGTTAACCGACCGTTCTAGTCGGAAAATTTCAAATGTCCGCTAGTGATGTGGCACTACAATATTTGGCTATGTCTTGGCTACTTTCATATTATTTTTGTTAAATTTTTGCGTGTTTTAGCTTGCATCAACGGCTCGACCATTGAAGGGAGGCCAGTATTTAAACGAAACTTAATTTTGTAATTATGAGTGGTTGTTTGTTTTGTGAACAATATTAAAAATAATTTTTAACGATACAATAGTGACGATTATTATTTTTTAAAAAAAATTTGTAAGGCTAAACATCGATGAAAATTCAATGCAAAGTTGGTTAATAGTGATATACTAATAAACTAATTTTATGGGATATACTAATAATGTATTTTTTTTCCTTCTTTTCGGTTATCCGATTTTTTCGATTATCCGACCAACCTGAAGTCCCCAATTGAGTCGGATAATCGATGCTCTACTGTAACTTTTATTTAACTTGGTCCCCCTAATTTCTGAATCCACAAGCTGCCAGTTATATAAACTTTCTTTTTAATTTTTGTAACTTTCTATATTCATGACGTATTACATTCAAAAATGTTTAAAAAATTTATAACTAAATTTCATTAATATACTATTTTCTTAACTAAATTAACAATAAAAGTAACAGAAACTAAATTTTCCTATTTACAGGATTAACGTTTCATTTAAAAAAGACTATTTCTTACATGAAAAATAAATAAATTCATCTAAATAAGTATTTTTTTTAACTTTTTAAAAATAAATTAGGCTACATAATTTTATGTAATAGAGCAACAATAAATTAAAATATTTTTAAAATATATATTACCATATTAAAATTTTATTTATTTTTTAGTAAATTGTTTAAATTACCATCATTTGAAGATGATCGTATATCAAACAAGTCCATTTTAGAAATATTTTTATACATAAAAAAATTCCAATAAATTGTTATTCCAAAAACAAAAACAGAATAAGTTAAAGATAATATGAAATAAAATTTATCATAATGATGTTTTTCTCTTATTATGTGCAATCCAAAAAGTTAAAGAAATAAAATATAGTGTAATTACAATTTATATCATATTGAATTGTTGCAGTCCATATGCAAACAATTTCATATAAATTAAGAATTATTATTCCATAGAAATACATTAAAATTTGGAGAGTGTAAATAATTACCAATATAATAATGTATTGATTTATTTTATGCAGGTAAATTATCAATAAAATTAAGAAAACTTTTTTTAATAATTAACATAAATGAGATAAAAGTAAATCAAATTTGTATCAAAAATTTACATTCATGTATGAGGAAAAATTATTTTCTTAAAAGAGAATTAAATACTGTAGAGCATAAATAAAAACAAAAATATGACAATTTGCAAATATCACTTCTACAAACTTTTGATTCCTCGTATTAGTAATTAATGTTATAAGAAATTTTTTACTTTATGTAAACATATATCATATTATTTTAATTTTTACACGCATTAAAATCTACTTACAACTAGTATTATACGATTGATTAATTTCAAAATCATATAAGAAGTCATAAATTGCAATTGCACTGTATATCATAGAAATTAGAAACATTATAATTATAATAAATTATTTTTCTATAAAATTGTAATGACATTTTAAAAAACAATTCTTTACTTACTATAATTATTTTTATCATAAAAAATTAATTTATTTATCATTTATTATTAACAACTTAACATAAAATNAAAATAACTTGAAAAATATGCATCCCACAAAAAATCATTGAACCAAAGAATGTTAGATTTCAAGGGGGCTACAAGATGGGACTTTCAGTTTCATCATAAATGGCACTACAGTCAATTAAAACAGCATCAATTTCAGTTTCTTAAACAGAAACCTCTGTCTTTTACTGCATATTATAATTCTAGATTAAAAACAAACTTTTATCTTATTATTTATTAATTTATAATTAATTTATTTATTAATATAAAATATTTTTAATTAAATTGCAAATATAGTACTTTATGGTCCATTTTAATCAATCTACTAAAATAACTTGAAAAATATGCATCCCACAAAAAATCATTGAACCAAAGAATGTTAGACTTCAAGGGGGCTACAAGATGGGACTTTCAGTTTCATCATAAATGGCACTACAGTCAATTAAAACAGCATCAATTTCAGTTTCTTAAACAGAAACCTCTGTCTTTTACTGCATATTATAATTCTAGATTAAAAACAAACTTTTATCTGAAGCCTTTTTTTCAAAAGATAAACTTGTCATAAGTTATGAGTATTTGAACTTTTACATGGCTACCACAACACAAGCCCATGTATCAGAGAATGTCTGTGAAGTGTATTGAAAAAAGAAAAACAAAAATTCTGTTAGATGCATTAAGTTAGATGTAGCAAGGTCCCATTATTCATAAATTGTAGTAAATTGTTTAAACCAGGGGTGGCCAACCTTTTGCATACCACGCGCCAATTTTTTGATAGACGAGTTCACATGCGCAGTGGCGTACCGGGGCGGAGAAAAATTTCGGCCACCCCTTATTTAGGTATTTGAATTTATAAGACGAAAATTTAGATTTGCCACAGAACAAGCAATGAAAAATGCGGTTGTAGCATAGCTACCCGTATAAAATAGTTCTATATGACATCAGTGGTGTACATGAACACGAATGCATCGTGTAACGTACAAGCAAAAAAAGAAAAAAAAAAAAAAGGTCAACAGGTCGATTGCACCGAATTGTGTAAGAAATACACTTGCCAAGCCACATTGTAAAAAATTAATTTCCTATGTAATATTAATAATTGCAATGAAGCCAAATCTGGCAATGTTGCTCGAAACCGACTGAAGCGCCACTTGTAGTCGTCCAATGCGCCAAGTTTGGTGCATGCGCCATGTTTTGGCCACCCCTGGTTTAAACAGACACTTAAATGAAAAGTGGATTGGACAACATGGAACTGATTTTTATTTATAGGAATATTTAAAGAATATTGTCTAAGAACAGGAACCAACAACTAGAGAAGATATGATTGTGTGAATTCAAACAATTTGTACAATTTGTAAAAGCATATTACAAAACATTTTATTAAAAACTGTGAGACATTTCCAATAGAGAGTTCACTTATACATTCAGCAAAATGGAGATGTCTTTGAACACTGTTTGACATAAAAGAGAGTTGTAATAGGCACTCAGGTTAATTAAGCATTCTGCTGAAAGTTTAATTGAGAAAATTTAAGATTATCTTGAACTATAGCATAACTTTTTTTCAGTTCATATTTAAAAAAATTATGATACCACCAAACAGTAATAGTTTTCTAAAGATTTTTTTAACATTTTCCTTCCTTTTTTTAACGAATTTCACAGGTATCCACAGATATGTGTACACACACAGTGTGGCAACTACATAAAAGTTCAAATTCTCACAATTTCTGATAAATACAATTGTTCAAAAAAAATGTTCAGGTAAAAGTATATTTGTTTTTGATATAGAATCATAATATACAATTGAAAAAATAAAGTTTCAAGAAAATAAAGTTGACTTCATTTTCATTGATTGTAGTGCCATTTATGATAAAACCAATAGCTCTAACTCATAGCCCCCTTGAATTCTAACATTTTTAGTTCAATGATATTTTTGTATGATTTTTTTTCATATATTCAAATTATTCCACTGGATCCATTAAAATTGACCACCCCATATAAACAGGATGCTCTGCAGGAAGTGACAATATTTTACAGCATGTTCTAGAGCCCTAGGAGATCCAAAAAATCCTGTACACAAAGCCCTTCAAAGGCATTGTTTCATTACTAGAAAGGTATAAAGTTCAGACTAGCTATCTTTTAACATGCTGCAGAATGGCCTTTCTAGCATTACTTTCTAGCAAACTGTGTATAGAGACTAAAGATAACATACATTTTTTACATTATTAATAACTCAGACCTCTGAAAGATTAGCATAATAGTAGTATGGATGAGAAACAATAACAGTAAAAAGAAACAATATTTGTTTGAAAAGGTTAACAGTCTACAAGATTAAATTATAAATTTTCGTCTATAATTTCGTATCTTCTATTATCAAGACTTATTATACTGGCTTTACAGATAATGCTGCAAAGTTTTACAGAAAACAATTTTTTATTTTATTTAATATACCTATATAATAAGTCCTGATAATAGAAGAAATTATAGACAAAAATTTATATTTTAGTAAGAAAAAGGACATTGAGGCATTTTAATTAGTCTACAACATTAATTGCAAATTTCATGCTGTATGTGTATATCTTTGAAATGCACATAACCCAGCTCACTGTTGTATAGAATTTATTTTGGTGGGTAGGATTAAGTAGTAATAAGGTGATTGGGTTTAACTTTTTGCACGGATGATCTATCATTGCATTTTCTGTGTCCCCCATGACATCACCTGGTGTGGTCACACCATTCGCACCACCCTATGGTCACCCCTGTGTACGAACAACATTATGAATAATGATATATTAAAATAACATTTATATTAAGTAATTTTTGAAATACATTCCAAATATTTTTACAAAGAATCATAGACTATTCATCTCTTTGCTAAGTTTTATGGCATATCACCAAACATATTTTGGTTTATTTTGGTTTCTCAGTTAATACTTATGGATTGATACACTAATGCAAATTTCAGAAAATTCTATCTACATTATTAATAACTCAAATTAATATTTTTTGAACTTGTTGCCAACAAGAACTTCATAACAACTTTACAAAAGAATAAACAACTTTCTGATGTAGAAAAAACTTCACTGTTTTTAACAATTCAAGAAACAATAAAGAGAAGATCAATCTGTTGAACAGAAGTGTTTACAAAATACTGGCATTAATCAAGGTTCATGAATCTGAACATAAATATATGAGAGTACTATAAGTATATGAGGACTGATCAGAAAGAAATATCCAGGTTACAAGGTTACCCGGTTAGGAGTTTTCACTTCTCAAAATCTAACATGTGCTTTGAAGGTATCATAAAAAGGACTACGTCTCAACATACATTTCAAACCATAGCATCTGCAAAAGAGTTAAAGAATATTACAAAGATGTTATATGAGTTACATTTCCATTTGTGCCAGACAAGTGTTATATCTACCTGATGAGGTAGACATAACACTTGTCTGGCACAAATAGAAATGTAAATTATAACACCTCTCACACTTCTTTGGCATCCTAGATAGAAATGTAATTGTCTCATGGAAAATGCAGAGCTGTTGGAAGCCTTAATACCAGGAGAGATCTAAAAATCAGCAGAAACAATATGAATTTATCAAAAAAATTTACAAAAAAAATATCATTAACTACAGATACTTGGCATCCATAACTGCACCTTGAAAATGAGTTGTGAATATTTTTTATGTCACATAGAAAGTGTGACCTTTCGGGTCGGCACCTCTTTGGTACCCTGTCAGGATTGACACCACCATGTTTCTTGGAACACAAAACCAAGACAGTGATTACGTCACGCCGTCGCACAAGCGGTCCCGTACGTGGTCAGACAGCTTCGTAATGTCGGTTCGAGAGACAACATTGGAAGTGACTCAGATACACTTAACAATTAACAAGGGTTTATTTAAAAATCAACGGGATAAAGTGTTGTCGCGGAGAGAGAGAGAGTTCACATACGATTCGTGGGGTGATAAATACCTTTGGTAATATATCCCGGTCGGGTCTTGTTGAATCGGAGAATAAGATCTTCTTATGGGTTTTTTCCAGATGTATCCAGTTCTGATGGGTATTTTTAGTTATCCAGGCGATCGTGCACTAACACACACACACAAAAAAAGGTTATCCTATGGGCCTTGATTAATTCGGTGATGATTAAATGGACGATGATTGAAGGGACGACGACTTCTTTCCTCTCCGAGGACTAAAACGGCGACTAACTCTTTTCGGCCGTCTCTGGTGATATTCAAGGACGATTTCGGCCGTGCAGAGGTTAATAGTTCATGAGAAAGCGTCATGTTGCTTTCGAGAAAATGTAATGGGAGACTTTCTCAGGTAGCTAAGAACAACAATTGTTGCGTAATTCGTGAAATGTTAATATTAAAGACTATTCTAATATAGGAATTTCTGCTATCTCATAAAAGCTTTCTTGTAGCCATTAGCACTACTGCTGTCTTGTTCTTAACTATTAGTACTTCTTTTTTGTTCTCTACTTTATTCTGCTGTATCTACTTTTTATGGAAGATTTAATATTATTGTTTATGATTTTAGCAGGGACACCATGATTCCTCACTATTTTTTAATTACCTTAAATTCCTCATTGTTATCTTTTATTATAAAAGAATGAATAATTGCTCTGTTAATTAGAGCTCTATAAGCTGATAATTTATGAGCTGTTGTATCATAGAATTTTCAATAAATGAATGTATTAACAATTAAAGATTCATGAAATACTTCAGCTAATAGATCTTTTCCTTTTTTGTATATATTCATATCTAGAAAATTTACACTTTCAAAACTCTCTGCTGTTAGCTTGATGAATACTCCTACAAAATTATCATTTCCTGTTTTTATGAGTTCTTGAATCTTGCCTTTACCTTTCCAAACAATTAATACATCATCCACACATCTTAATATTCATTTAATGCCATCCAAAAATTTCTTAATGCTTGTATCTTTCACCCATTTTATGACTATCTCAGCTATTGCCAAATACTGGGAATCCCATAGGGATTCCTCTTAGTTGGTGATAAAATTTTTTTATCTTCCAATTGAAAATATGAATATTTTAATATTAGATCTAAAAAATCTGTAACTAGCTTGAATTTACTTAATGGCACTTTCCAATTCATGCATATGTAATCCCTTGTTAATGTTATAGTAGACTTTATTTTTATCAACTGGTACATATTTTCATAATCTGAAACCATTATTTTGCATTCATTATCTACTGTAATTGATTTTATCACTTTAACTGCATCCAAAGAACTGCTAATAGCATAGATTGCTTTACATCGCATGCTTATTAGTATTTTGCACAATTTCTTTTCTAGACTTATTGTACAGGAGTATGTTTTATCTAGCACTGGTCTTATGGCCAATTTTTTTTATGAATCTTTACCATGCCAAATACTGTAATTTAAGCACTGTTATTTTTGAACTTGATTTGCTTGTTAGACATACTGGTAAATTATTATTAGCTAATAGTTTGTAGACTTTAGATATAATGTACAATACATTGGGTATTTCTTTAGCATTACTAACTCTGTGTTAGTAGATATTCTTCCATTTTGCTTTATGATTACTTTCTGTCAAATACTGCTATGGCTCTTTAACTTGCAATAATTTGTTCCTAATACTAAAAATACTTTTTCCTTCGAACCAACATTTTAATAGAAGTTCCTAAAGAAAGATCCAACAGAAGGTTCAAGAAAAGCCAAAAACATTATTGAAAATTATGCAAGTTTTGATTATCATAAGAAACAGATTAGTCTCTCTTTCTTTATATAGTGCCAAGTGTTGTTAATTTTAAAGTAATAGTTATATTAAATAAATAAAAATGAAAATAATATCCTAAAAATATTTCAATGATACTGATTGATAAATAAAAGAAAAACCAATAAAAAAAAAACTGAATGATAAAATATTTATCAGTCATAAATAAAAAGTGATTAATTTAATATATTTTTATTTAGTAGTTATAAAAATTTCATTATTTCATATAATATTATTAGAAATTATAATTAAATTATCTTAATAAGAACAATTTCCATCTCCAATTAAAATTCTAAAAACTAAGTTTCACAAAACCTTTTTACACATTTTCTAGCAGTTTCTTGAGAGAACAAACGTTTTTGGCCATGTTAAATGGCCTTCTTCAGGTTCTCTTTTGATAATATCTTTCAAATTTTTGTTAACTGACAATGCTATTGAACCTGAAGGCCATTAAACATGGTCGAAAACATTTGTTCTCTCACAAACTGCTAGAAAATGTGTAAAAAAGGTTTTGTGAAACTTATTTAAAGAAGTTCTAGCTTTCTGTGCATGGAATTCTAAAAACTATTTTGTAACCAACTGAAAATTCAATTTCTACTTCAAAGAAAAAAAAATATATATATAAAATAATCTTTAACATTTCATTTTATAACAGTACAAAAAAAATGAATTGAAAAATTTGATTTATTAATAAAATGTTTTTACTTTTGATTCTTCTCTTGTTCTAACACCATGTCTACCCCAAGTTGTCATTAATTCAAGAAACTTTCTAAAAACATAATTAAAATTTATTATTAAAATAGACTATATTAATAATTATGTTTTATATTTAAAATACATTTTTTGTTTTAAATCTATATTAATAAATAAAGAATACCTAAAATACAAAATCTAATATTTATTATAATATATATAAGCTATCAATTAGTCTTATTTACTAATATTAAAACAAATAATTGATTTCCAAGAAGTCAAACAGATTTGTTGGGTTATGTTTGGACACAAGTTTAATTAATTATAAAATTTTGCTTAAAGATAGCAATTAGGCCATCATCTTGAATTGATATTAATTATTAGCTATTATTAAAAAAATTAGATAATTAGGAACAATCTGGAATAAAAGATCAAATGCAAAGCAAAGTTTAAACCTCCATCTGGTAATGCAGCTGTACAGCATACAGAAATGCAGATTTAATTCCTAGTCTGGATCTATATTTTCTTCCAGGTTATTTTAAATTTAATATCTAATTACTTATATTAATACAGGATAGCAAATTATCTTTATCTGCCTATCTTGAAGCAAAAGTATATAGTTAATTATTTAAATTAATAGTCTAAATGTAGCACAAATCTAGCAATCAAACATTTATATAAATTATATATTTACTCAAAAAAATAAATTAAGATTCAGACAAAAAAATATATATTTAACTAATAAAATTTGTAGCAAGACTGCACAAATACAATACCAAACTGAACTATGAAAAGACAGAAAAGCACTTTATAATCTTAACAATCAAAGTTGAATTAGACTTCTTCTATTACTCTCTCTTATGTAATAAACAACTGAATTACAATAAACACTGTGTGACATATGTTGACTCCTGTTCGTGCTTCTTACCATAACCTCTTTCCAGATACACAACCACATATGTAAGTAAAGCATAACTGTCAAGGAGGCGTATCGAGTAGGGACAAGATAATTCAAGTTTTCACTCGTTGGAACACGTTTTCCAGAAAAGGTTGGTTAGCGAGTCATCCTGGACAAGTTGAGACAGGTATGCCAACCAAGGAGGACCTGAAGGAGAGCTACCCATCCAGCTCTGGATTGGTCAGCCAATGGATCTAAAACTTAGATATAAGGCAACACAACTGTTGGAACCAGGAGAAACAAATCTGGACTAAGACTGTGTTGTTAGAAGCAACCAAACTGTATTGCTGTATGTATTGTAAATAGTTGTCAAATAAACAGACTTAGGCTAGGCCTCCACTTGTGATTTCTAGTCATGCACTTTTTCAGTTGCAAAAATAAAACTCGTTTCCAAAACAAGTGCATACACTTGCAACTAAACAATTGCAGTGATTAAAAAGTTGCAACCAGTCCTATTTTTGCTGTGATGTAATTGTCGCTCTACCCATAAATTACACACAGGCATGGACATGCACCTACTTGTGACAGTCTAGTGGCAGTTTTGAAGCAGTCTACAGTCTTGTTCTGGTCTCTGTTCAAAATACTGCTAACACTGAAAAACTTCTTGTTGTCATTTGGTAATACTGGAAAAACTTTACAGGGTGCTCACAAAAATCCTCAAATAACTTGTAAAACTGCCCTTTCAATAATCTTTGACTTGTTATTGGATGTACCCAATAACAATGCTTCTGCTGTTTACTTCTCGCCTGAAGCAAAAGAATGATCACACGAGAAGTTTCAATGACATCCATTGGAAAACTGTTCTAATTCAACAATTTATCTATCACAGTGTGTGCACCTTGTAGATTTTCTGCGGCAGCAATTTATTGATCATCATAACTAGAAATCGCAAATGGAGATTTCTAGACTTAGACTTAGTCTTAGTTCAAGGAGTTGTAAGGTGTTCTTTCTAACAGACCATAAGTCTAAAAATCAGACAGCATGATCCGAAATTTACTATAACCTTACAGGTTAAATTTAAGAATATATACTTGGTTTTAAATCCATGCCCTTTAAAACTAATTATTTAACTACCAGTCACATTAATTAATTTATATTTTTCTATTTATAAATTTTTAGCAAAACTCACTTTATTAACAAACTAATAAAATGAACTTTAGTACAAATTTGGATCTATCTAGGATGATTATTTGTCTTAATTTTTGTCTTTTGGGATGGATATTATGGCTACTCATCTTTACCACAACACCAGAGAATAGTAATATAATTACCTCTTTCTAACCTGTTACCGGTGTGTCTACTAACTCTTATCGATCCAAAACGAATCAAAACTAACGTTTTCGAACCCTTAAACGATTCTTCTTCAGGTTTTTTCGAATCTCTGATGGAAATGCAGCTCATAAAAACTTTAAATTCGAAATATGTAAGTTCGAATGCATGTTTCCCGTTTCCGTCGTTTTATGTCATGCGCAGTCGACTCCAAACGGGCTATCATAAATTACTATTCATAAACGCTAGCCACGCTGTTGATAACGTAATCTCTTCTTTATAATTGATGCATTGATTATCCTTAAGGTTAGCCAAATATATGCTGGCCGCCTCTAGCCATCTGATATGGTGTACGTGCCGTGCGGTGCGGATAATTCTTGCTTTCTTAAATTCGGGTTCTATATCTGGATCGGAAGCATATACTGCTAGGGTCGTCGTGTTCCTTTGTTTCTGAATATCCGCAGCGTGTTCTTTGAGTCTAACCTCTAAGGATCGCTTGGTGGAGCCCACATACAGAAGGTTTTTATCACATCTGCGATCTATAATCGGTATGCTGTAGACCCCTGACAGCTTATCCTTGTCCGGTTGATCTTTTCCGTTGGTTAGGATGTTGAAGATCGAAGCG